AAGAGCAGCATTGTTTTTTGCTTTAACTATATTACATCTTATGCTAGTGATTCTGAAGCAGGGTGCTGTGGCACCCTGGTTAGCACTGCACGATATGCAAACACCTATACATGACCCACAAGATAAACCCAGAGATTTCAAATAGGAATCCACAGTATCAAAAACACTCTGTTGTAGTCTTTCTGAGTTCTTTGTAAGTGAAGAATTGCTCTATTAGTTTTCTATAATGAAAAAAAAATGAGTGAAACTGAAGAGCTGGCATGTTCTGAGGGGTGCCTTTAGTATAAAAAGATAGAGAACCACTGTTTGATGGGCAGAAAAAAATAAGTAAGAGGGAATATCCACTGTAGCATTTTCTCAGGTTGTTGCTTCAATTCTTTAATGATTAGTTAACAGAAATGGCAAAATGCTATTCTGTCAAAACCCTCCATATATTTTTATATTACAAAATATAAATATTTCAGCATGGGGCTATTTTAATATCAAAATTCACTTTCTTTGTTTCTGATTATAGGAATGTGGTTTTTGTGTAAATGAGGTTGAGGAGGGGAGAGAAAATGAATAGGTTCTCTAGTTCCTCTCAGAAAAAAAAGCCATATGCAAATTTATTGTAAGAAGTAGGCCAATTTTGGTGTGAGTACCTTGTTAAAATATTGGATGCCTATTGACCTACTGTCTGAAACTTTGCTTACCAAAGATAAAAAGTGCACAAACAATGAACAATATTCAGGTCTAGCTAGGTGCCTTTCCCTGCTAGAGTAGGTTTTAACTCACCTGTTAGTTCTAGTAAAATCAAATTTAACAGATGTTAAAACATCTAATCTCCTTTAAACTATCAAACTCCTAATATAGCCCTTTTAGAGTTTTATTTTACAGATGCTTTTCTTCTATGCCCCCCTCATTTTCTCAAACTTATTCCTTATTTTTGTGATTAGAGCAAGAAGTGTGTAGATATTGCTTAAAAGAAGCCTTTTTTGGTCAGAGGTGTAAGTAAGAACATTGGTGCCCTGGGCTGGGCCATGCAGGGTGCTGAGTGCTAACCTTCCTGCACCAGTTCCACTGCCTTTATGGTAGTGGCATGAGCTCCCCAGACATGGGCTGCTCATACAATGTTGCAGGTAGCAGTGCAGGCCTCCCAGGGGCTACCCTTCTTGTACATCTTCTAAATTGGTACCTGAGACTGATGCCTCACTTGCCTACCACTAGTTATGTTCCTGTTTTTTTCTCATTGGGTGAAATAACCAGTTTTCTCAAAGTTTATTTCCATAGACATCTCATATTAAATAATTAGAAGAGGTTGAGTTATTTCTAATTCAGTTTGGCAAACTTAGACCACTTTTATCCTTAAAAATGCTTTAATGCTCTAGGTTGTTCATGTTGCTCTCAACAACTAGGAACATATCTGGATGTCCATGAAGATACGGTTACAATGGTGGCCATTTTTGTAGTGACTGCCACCAGTTCCCCTATTGCAGCTAAATCCTGCAGTTCTTTTCTGCTCTAAGTCCAGGATCTCAAATATCCCAGTGTGATAACTGATGTTGACTTTTGTCAACTTTTGACTTTTGCCAATGTTGACTTTTAACAAACACAGTCTAGCTTTTATAACCCTTTGAACTGAAGGTTGCCATCACGCATGTTTCAGAAAATGGTTATGCCCATGGGTATTTCCCAATAGCTTATTAAAATTAAAAGTTAGCTTTGGACTGCTTTTACTAAGGGGTGAATTGGCTAATCATTTAAAATAGGAGGAGATAACTTGGCAGGCACTGCTAAAGTAGTTTATGCCAAAAGAAAGGATGTTTCCAAGCCAAAAGGGCTTGCTGGGTAGGTAGAGCGGGTTCATGAGAAGTGTGTGATTGTGGGCAGCTGCCACTTTCCAAAGAGGAAGGCCTGACTCTTACAAGTACTGAGTATCCACAAAACCCATGGAGGCTAATGGGAGCTGCAGATGTACAGCATCCAGACAACGTAGAGCAAGAGGAAGGAAGGAGACAGTCCCTGGCATGTATCTGCCTGGATAGTCATTTGGCACTGCCTTTCCTCTGACAGATTTTGAAGGAATGAGTAATTTTGCTTGTGCGGGCATATACTGCCCATTGCATTTTCCTTCACACTAATAGATTTTTTTTTTGCTTAAGCTTCCTCCTAAATGAGATTTCCGAGAAAAGGATCAGACTTGTAAGAAGCAGCAGGTGAGATCCTGGCCTTTCACTCTGTGAAGAGAGATGTCCTGTATATTTGTAATAGGATCTATAGTGTAACAGCTAATGCTCTGTTACAAGCTGTGATCCTGTATTCTGGACCATTTTTCCACGCCTTAGCACTTTCCAAATTCTCTTCTTGCTATAACTACCTCACACTGTGAACACAGACAGTTCTGTTTTCATAGACGCTACAGGGGCTTGGTGCATTTGTTTTCTTCCTCACCATGTTACCTAATAAAATAACAGTGACTTTTACCTAGACAAATACCAATATGAAATTGTGTGTATGTGTATAAATACAAATTTTACAACATGAACAGAGATTTACAGGAGGAGCTTTGAAACACTATGCCTAGAATATATTCAGGCAATATATTTTTGTTGGGAGGTGTACATAATGCTGTTTTGACTGTTAAAATTCTTGTCAAGCTTTGGTGCGTATCCAGCCTAGGTTTTTTCTGGTTTATATTACTTCCTACAGTTGTTCTCAGCTCAGAGCTGGATTTATCCAGATGTACTCCATCATTGTGCTGGTTGAAGGGTTTGATCATGTTCAGTAACACCCTCCAAATTGTTATCCATGTGTGTCTTGTGTAGGCAGTGATAGTTAAAGGCATACAAATTGCCAGATTTACAATTTGGATCTCCATCCAAACTACTCACTAGGCTGCTTACAGTTAAATTGCACGTGTTCAGTAGCTATATCAATCATTTATCCTCCAAAGAGTATCATGCCATATTCTCCTCAGTTTTCCTGGGTGTCTCAGATCAAGCTAAGTCATTCCCCACAATAATGTGTTGATATTTGCTGTTTGATCTATTTGCTGTTAAATCTATTTGATTTGCTGTTTGCTTTGGACACATTGGCTGTTTCTTTCAAGCTGTGAGAGAGCACTGGGTTCCCCAGGACATTTGGAAGAATTATCTTTAACACTGCACTTGTCACCTGTCACCCTCCACAGAAAGGTGCTGGATATCATCTGGACTTGTTTTGGGTGGCTGTTCTGATGATTGTCTGTTCCTTCATGGGCCTGCCTTGGTATGTTGCTGCTACTGTGATCTCCATTGCACACATTGACAGCTTAAAGATGGAGACAGAAACCTCAGCGCCAGGAGAACAACCCAAGTTTCTGGGAGTAAGGTATGCCAAACCAAAGAGGGGCCTTATTTGCCTTGCTTGCTAAAAGTTCAGTGTTCAGATGATTAAATGACCTGCCATAAAAACAGCAGTGATTCAGAGAAACTGGCTATCAGTTTTACAGGAAGTCTTCAGCTCAGCTGAGTTTTCCTTACAGCTCTTGTTCTTTTCCTGCAATGTTCTTTGCTTAAAAGGAAAAAAATTAAGCTGTTCTGTGTGCGTGTATGACAGGCACACACCCTATTGTGCTGGACTTTATGCATTTCATTACCCTTCAACATATCTTAAAATTGACAAGCTTTTGCATAATGAATTTTAATCAGTATGAGGTCCTGTAAAGTTTCATTAATAGGTATCCATTACTATTTCACAGCTTTGAGAATGAAATAGGAAAGTTGAATTGTCCTTAGGATCATAAGGGATTTAGCAGCATAACTCTCCAGTGTTTTGCAGCTGAATCCCCTTTCATCTTTGTGCACCTTATCCAGAATTTTTAGAGCACATTTCCCAGGCTTCGAGGAAGGGAATAGTTTTACTACAGATAATTTTGTAGTTGGGCATTAGGATAGACATATGCAAGCAAATACAGCAGTAAAAAAAAAAAAAGAAACTTGTAGGGTCTAGAGCAACCAATTCAACTTAATGAAGTAATTTACTCTGTAATTAGGTACAGAATTAAGTTGTTTGAAGTGCTTTCAGTAGGAGCCTCAGCATCTGTGAAAATTAGGCCAGTTATTTAGGTACTTCAATGTGAATTGAATTCCCAAACTTTCAGATTAATTAGATTATGAATTTACCCTTAGTTGAATATGCTGGCCAGAATAGACATCTGTGGTTCCTTCCCTCAATGAAAGATATTTATCTGAAGTGTTGAAGTACAATATATTAAGGTTAGGATTCAAAATATGACGCTAATGCACAATTCAATAAGAAACAATTTATTGTCAATTTGCTTATCACACAAATTGCCAGTAATATGTACAAGGTTCTTTGGGTGAATCTGATATCTTTCATTAGACCAACTTAAATGGTTGGAAAAACAATTTTTTTTTTTTTGGAAGCTTTCAGGTTTCAAAACCCTTTGTCAAGCTGAGGAAGCTTCTGCAGTTGGTGTGTGCTCTTCCTGGATGGAATAGTTGGTTTAATAAAAGAGATCAGATTGACCCAAAGAACCTTGTCTGCCTATGTCTGCCTGTCCTTAGACCAACACGGTTACAACCTATGCCCCAGTAATATGTACAGAATTTAGCCTGCCAATTGATTTGTCATGTTAAACATTTAAACATGTTTCTCAGTATTGACCAGTAACACTCTATAGGTTCACCACTACCTCTGAGCTTGCTTTATAGCTACCAAAGTGAAAAATGGCCTTTAGGGATCAGTCTCAGTTTTTAAACAACATTAGGGGGCCAGATTTTCACAGATGGGTGCAAACAGTGCAAAGAATGCAGCTGTTGTCTTCACAAATAAGGTATTGAGGGAAACACAACAGTGGGTGCATCCCCACATGCTGGGGCATGTACTTACAGTGGGGACAAATTTATGCCGCTACTTTTTGCTGCTGTATGCACCCCTTCACGTGGGTTTGGTGCAGGGCAAAATGCTCCACTTCAGAGAAAATGCTGTTTCCCTGCTGCTCCTGGTGTACTGGAGGAGCCAGGGGACAACTAGAGGAGGGGAGCAGCACTGGGCAGCAGCCAAAGCATCTCCTGGGAGGACCGAGCCTCCGTGCCTGATGGCACATGCTCTTGGAGGATGCATTGTGGCACTTTTTCTTGGTGTGTTTTTTTTTACTACTGGGGTTTCCCAGTAGCAAATTGTGCCCCTACAAGGCAAATTTGCAGCACAAGGCACATTTTAATATGCCAGGTGTGCAGTTTGTGGTGCCACAAACCTCACGTGCCTGCGTGTCTGGATTCGGCCAATGTGTGTACTCTGCATTTTCAAGAGGTGCAGGTTATTCTTTGGCCTGTGCATGTATGTATGCATGAACTTGTTGGCATACTACTGCCACTCATCTTTGATAAAATATGGCCTCAAAAATTAATCTTTACAAATGAGGGGGGCTTTTCTCTTTGTGACTTGAAAAAAAAAGGAAACTAGAAATAAAGCAGAAGCTGATTCAGTAACTTCTCTGACTTGGTTTCAGGGAACAGAGGGTAACTGGTATCATTGTATTTGTTCTGACTGGTGTGTCGGTTTTTATGGCTCCCATCTTGAAGGTAAGTTCTTTTTCTCTTCTTTATCCTTAGGACACAGGCAAATAAGCAAACTACCAACCATATAATACCAGATCAACTTTTTTAAGCTATTAAAAGTACTGTCATCATAATGGTATGGAAAAGGAGATTAGGGAGAATTATTGATGTTGTTTTACAATTTAGCAGAAGATTAAAAATAAACTTTTTGGGGATGAAAAGTTACATATTTGTAGCTTGATGCATTATTGCTAAGAAGTTTCAGGGTTGGGATTTTTTGTTCTGTCAAAAAAAGAGTTGTCTTAAATGTTTGTATGCATCATCATTGTATTGCATCTTATGTTTTATGCACCTGCCTTCTGTGTGTTCCCATGGAAAAGATATTGTAAACACATTCGGAGAGCTTGTATGAGCCGTCTGGAAACATGGTTGGTAGCCCAGAGTACTTGCCATGTGGAGACCATCCAGTGGGTGTATAGTCAAGAAAAGGCTATTTAAATTTATGATATGCATGCATGTGTGTATGTAAATGTGTACATCATATACATCCTGCTTTGTATCACTGGAGTGACTCCATGCAGTCTGACAACATCAATGAAACTTAGGACACAGACAGAAGTGATAGTTTTTGCCTGATCTGGCCTCTGAAAGCACTCTGTAACTGTGACCAAACAGAAATGCATGGCTGCAGAGCACTTTAAAAGGGCCTGATTCCACAATAATCCAAACCGTCATTGCATGAGCATTCATTGCATGAGCATTCAGATGAAGATGTTTCAAAACAGAGCATCTTCAGTAACTTCTGTCTGTGGTGCCTCCCAGCCTGTCACTGTTTTCAGAATGGGTGGGGGGAAGGGGAGCGGAAGAGGTTTGGTGTGGGGGTTTTTTAGCCCGTGCCATCTTGTGGGCACTCCACTCTACCCACCCTACCCTCCAGCGCTATCTGGGGAACCTCTAGAATGTGCATCCTCTGCTCCCTTTCCTCCCTCCTATTCTGAAAACAGCTGATAGACTGGAAGTGAGGAGGGGCTGTTGCTAAAAGAAACTGGCTGGAGGCTTGAAGCCAGCAGCTAGATTCCCCTCACTCCTGGAACCAACAGAGAAATTCTGTTTGGTCCTGGTGGTCCTTGAAACTTAGATTGCTTTTTGCAAAGCGTTCTGAGTTACAATGGGGAGCTACATTTCTGTCTGCCCCCTTAGTATCCTTGCATCTTGATCCAAAGGGAGCTTTGGGAATGGCAGCCTTGTAGTGTTGACTACCTTTAATCTGTGGAGTGGGAGAGAGTTCCAGGTAGGGGGAACCATGTAACAGCAAGAATGACTTCTCTGTATGAAGTCTCTGAGAAGGCTGCGAGATGCAAAAGTAGAAATATTTCTGGTAGGTGGGTGGATGGCTCGTGTGTTGGGGGGGTGGGGGGTCTGTGTGTATAGAAGGGAATCTGCAAAGGTCATGTTCCCTGAAATCAAGAAGCATAGAGAGGTTATGGCAAATCTTTTATCTCTTCTGGCAAATATATGTCCTCCTGATAATGGGGAGTCCAGTTCTATGGGAATTCCAATTGCATGTAGGTATCCCTGGAAGGTTATTCATGGCAATTAACTTTCAGCAATACCTACATGTAGGAAATTTGTATTTGTCACCCTTCCCCCAGTCTGTGTTTGTGCACATGGTATAAATATGACTTAGATGAGGGAGAATATTAAGAATTGCTAGCAATGCGTAGAATACATGCTGACTTCAGCTGATGGAGTTACTCAATGAGAGTTTTGCCAGGGGGCTAGCATTTCATCTGCTAAGATCCAGCTGTCATGGCATAAACCTGAGCAGGGCAAAGTCCATCGAACCTACCATGATTTATGCAGAACCATATAACAACTGAATTTCTTGATTTTGGGCTGACTCCTTTGGAAACAAACAAAATTCTGACCCTCAGAAATGCTGTGCAGCTGAGCAGCATGCAAAGTATGTGTCTGTAAAAGGAACAGTACAATAGAAGTGTGATATCGTAATCTCCTGGTTCTTTCTGTTAATGCTAGATTTATTGCTGAGGATTTTCTTTAAAGCTTCTTCCATTTGCCTTTTTTCTTTGGCCGAACGTTATTTACATACAACTACATGCAATTAAGTTGCCCTTAAAGCATTATTAGATTATGAAACACTACTAGGGAAACTGGTTCTACTTTGATGGTGCAGGAACATGTATTCACATATAGACTGTTCTACTGATTTGTTTATTGAGTACTGTAGATGTAGACTATGTTGTGCAACAGGAGAACTATGCCAAACAATTCCTAGACCATAGGATTTACAGTCTAGGAGTACAACCAAGGACTGTTTACCACAGTAACATGCGTTACTGTAAAGAAACAGTGGCAGCAGATGTAGTACACAGGGGGGTATGATGAAAAAATGGTAAAGATGCTTTGCAGTGGTTCCAGAGGAGTAAGTTCAAGTCTTGCTATGGACTTGCACCAAAGGCCATCCCCTAATCAGCCCAACTGTAAATGAGTACCTGGTTATGGGGAGTCAAAAACAGGTGGGTGTGATGCTAGCCATGACATTGCCTTGTGTGCTGTTGGCTACAGAGACTGGTGTAGACCCAGTGGACTGCTCATGTTGGATGCACAGTTAGTGTTTTTTGACCATGTGGAGGAGGCAAATGAAAGGTTGATGCAAATCAGAAGCCTATTCCCAGCAGGAGAACAGGGTTACAGAAAGGCACAAGTGAGGAAAAGCAACAAAAAGAGAGTATAGAAGCGACTCTGGACAGGACAGTAGAGAGTGGGGGAACAGACAAAAGCAAGGCTGAGAAAAGGTCAGTGTTGCTGAGTGCCTTGCTGGTGAAGAGAAGTAGTTTTAAAACATATCAAAACTTTCCTAGAATTCTAGATTTGAGCTGGTTTTAAAAATTGTAATTTTTTCCTTCTGGCTCTTTGTGACTGGGTCTTACTTAATTTTTCATTTGTGTCATGAATTCCCAGCTTAATTTTAATCATGTGGTTGATGGTATGTGACCTCTCTTTACACAAACCCATTCCCCTCCCCACAGTGCATTATGATTTCTAAGCAGAGATTTCTCTGTTCATTTAATTATTTTACACACTTCCTTGAAGCATGGATATGGAATCAAGTTTCATTGCAGGGGGTGTGGGGTAGATTGGCATATCTCCCATGTTAGCCCACATAAGAGTCATCTTGGGAGTGTCTGAGGATCATTAACAAACCTCAGGGATAGGTAGTAGTGTTGTAAGAACTGCCTTGAGAATGAGTTACAAAACCTGTACACTTGACAGTGCTACCAGCAAACTGAAAATAAAAAAGCCCCAATACAATAAAACAGTCAAAAAATAGAACTCCTTCTGTGTGGATGTTTGTTTTGCCTTTCATTTGATTAAGGCAGATTTCCATTGAAATAGCTTAGATCTGGCTAAAAGAGTGCCAAAAAGCTTCCTATTATGCATGTTTTCCTTGTGTTGGCCAGTAGTATGTTTGTTTTAGGTTTTTCAGACAGCAACCTCTTCCTTTGCCAGCAAATACATTGCCAGAGCAATATCTTCCAGAACTTAAGTACTGCATGATTCCTTCTCCACTGCTTTAAGGAAAGCATGATAGCGTATCTAGATTTTATTTGTGCATGATTTACATGTTTAAATAGTTTAAATCAGTGAAATGACACTTGGCATACTTTTCTTATAAGAAAGGAAGTAAAAATTGTAGAAAAACTTCAGAGCATACCTAAAATCAAACTAAAAATCCCCCAAGCCTTCCCTACTTGTGTCAAGATATGTTGTCTTGTCCTATTCGTCAGATCAAGGGAGTCGGCGTGAAACCCTTGGACGTTGCAGCTATGCAAACAACGTAGAGCAGTGGTCTTCAACCTTTTTATGGTGAAGATTACTTCTTGGAAGTAAGGGGCACCCCAGAATCTACTGTGCCTTCCCACCTGCCCCCTGCCCTGCCCCCACCCCACCCCACCCCCAGCCCAGTGGCAGCAGAGAACTGGGGGCAGAACCCAGCCCGGCCCAGTCTGAGA